CATCCATCACAGATCCTTCAAGTTTTTTTCTCAGAAAAGTCTGATTTTAGAGTGACCAAGACAATCACTGGATTTAAATCCATAGAGCACTAATGCGCAAGAGTTAAAATTGAGAAAGAACTGAAATTTCTCTCAAGAACGAATTGTCAAAGTGATCGAATCTTATGCCTCAACGATGTGCTCCATGATAGCTGCAAAGGTATGGCTACTAAATATTGATGAAAACGTTAATTCTTATTATGTATTTAAGTTATAATATTTTGTAACAGCTTTTTCTTAAGTTTTTGGATATTATATTGAATATTTTTGTTTTGGCCAGATATTTTTGAGAATCAAATATTTTTGTTTTTGTTATAATAATTATTGATTGTTATATTTAATTATCTGAGCTATGTGGTAATGTGGCACAATAAATCTACTTTACAATGATTATTTGCAGTTTATCTTATACTATTTAAACCATAGTTAAATATGGTTGGCCGATAATTTTGCATGCAACATAATCTGAAATTGCCTCAACAATTAATTGATTTTGATGTCATAATATTGGAACAACTTGAAAATTATGGTTCATCTCCCATTTCACAAAATTCCAGAAAACCTATGTAACTCAGAAAGTAAAACCATTAAAAAAAAAAAGTTTATTGTGCGAACTTTACAATCAAAAACATATACTATATTAAAAAGTTTTGTACTTTTTTTAAAAGCTAATTTTTATTGTCTCTTCACTTAGGTTCCTTGTAATTTAAAAAACTGAGAAATTTATATTTTTGGTTAAGTCAGGAGGATTAAAAATATATACATTAATATACTATGATACATATATATACTATATATAATATATATATATATACATATAATACATTTATAACATATTACATATATATATACATACATATAATATACATACATATATATATACATTACATATATAATTACATACATAATACATATATATACATATATTATATATACATAGATTAATATACAAATATATAATATACATATATATATATATACATATATATACTACAATATATATATATACATATATATATAGTATAACATATATATATATATACCTATATATATATATATATACCATATATATATATAGACATATATAATATATACATATATATATATACATATTATATATACAATATATATATATACATATATATAATACATATATATATATACATATATATATATACAATAATAGTATAATATATACATATATATATATACTATATATATATACATATATATATATATAACATATATAATTATATATACATATATATATATCATATATATATATACAATAATCTGCACTATATATATTTATTTATTTATATATTTATATTTATTTATTTTGTTCGAAAAGCGTTTGAATGATAAATCTAGAATATCCCAATTACAGCATTGTATCTCAAAAGTCTCTTAACTGGTCAATAAGAGGCTGCAATTCATCAATCATAGGTAGTGTGCACTTCAGCGAGTTTCAAACACAGATGGGGGTTATTGACCCCGAAGCTGAAGAATATTTCTTGTTACAGGCACATTAAATTTTTTTTAAAATACACATGTAAATTAATGCATTATACAACCTGCCTGCCTGCAAACGTGCATTCATCACTCACTGTTAGGCCCCTTCTGGCTCATCAATTAAGACAAACAAGAAATCATTTGATATGACGATCTTCTGTTGGAAACATCATTTTCATTTTGGCTGATCCATACAGATTTTAAGAAATGTCTCTAAAAACGCATGTTTGTTTTTTCAAGGCAACTAAAAAGCAGGGTGACTTACAGCACCTAGAGAAGTGATTGATAGCTTACTTGATTCCTATCATCATAACAATTTGGTTGCCATAATTCTTAGCTGGCACCGTCTAGAATATTTTGTTTATATTCTTGAAAAACAGGTTTTCGATGGTTTTGTAGAATAGACTATTGTGCAAGCCACATGTTGTAATAGACTTGTGTAAAATTCTTTGTCAAGAAAGACAAACAAGAGAGAATTGTTTGATGTATGATAGAAATTATTAGGTTTAAAAGATGACGATTAAATTTAAATCGTTTCAGACAATTACAATAAATTGTTAAAATAATAATGTAGTGGGTCTTAATTCATCAATACCAAACTGCAGTGGTATTTAGCACTGCCAGTAAGTCAAGTACAATAGATACTTATATCAGATTTCAATGCTACAACTATATTGGTGAAATGCTGTGTAAAACTAACTCTT